TTCTCTCCCCTATCCTCAGGTGAGGGGGGGAATTGTGTGGGTGGGTATGTGGTTTGGCCCCCAGCCAAGGGCTAACCCACCACACCAAGCAAAACCTTTGCTGACAGCAACAGGTTCAGGATGCCACCTACTCTCTTGTACAAGCCCGTGTAAACAATAGCTGGGGCTATCTGGCCTTTGGAAAGCTTCTGGTGCTCCTGTCCTCAGGCGCCACTGTCAGATGCCTATCCAACTTGTTTGCCACATGGTAGCACTCGGGAGGGCTTAGTCTGCATTATATGGTTTTGTTGTTTGGTTTTTGTTTGATTTGGGTTTTGTTTGGGGGTTTTGGATTTTTTTTTTTTTGCCTTTCCTTTTGACACTGGCTGGTTTTTTCCACAACAAACAGAAAAAACAGCACAAGCAGTAGAGTAAGAATTCAGGGTGGCAGAAAGCAGCTTTCTGAGAGCACCTTCTGAATAGCACCATTTGATTAAAAGAGATATGCAAAAGCATCTTTTTAAGCTTTCCCACTGTGTGGCTGGTGTTTGCATGGAGGAGCTGACAATTTATTGCTCAGTCCCTGCGATCTGATCTACATGTTCCCTACCTCAGTGCCTGTAAAGGTCCAAGCAGATGAAATATCTCCCTGGGCAAACCTGCTTGCTGAACTGAGGTTTCATCCATCATATAGGGAATACTGAAACAGACCATAGCAGTGACCTCAGGCAAACACAGGAATCAAATCAGAGAAAAATTAGTCTTTCTGAAGTTAACTAAGCACTACTCTTTTAGACATGACTGTTGGCTCCAATTATACAGTGAATCCCTTGTTCATACAACCCTCAATTTTATTTAAGATATGTTCTTATTGCTAACATGTTATAAAAGGACCTGCACTTACATATTTTTAATGATTTTCCAGATAGTTATATTTCTGCATGATGAGGAAAGAAATTTAACTACCTACACTGTGATAATTTTATCCAAGCCATGCGATCAGAAATCTGTTCTGCTTGTATTTGTATCTTAAGTGATCTCCCAAAGCCTTTTGTTAGAAAGCCTAGCAAAAATTAACACCACACGCTACGAGCATGCTTCTCCCTAACCAAGTGAAAATGGTATGATCTACTGTCATTTTAAAGTTACTTATATTCAGTCTGACAGAACAACCAAAGAAGAAATGGATTCTTCCAATTTCATTATGAGGGAAGACAAGCTTACTTATTTACAACACTACAGAATTGTCTGGATGCAGCTGAGAATATCTAAGCTTGGTGTTGGATTGTCAGGCAGAGTTCAGAGCAAGTTCTGGCTCTAAAACATGAGTGCACTGATGGAGTTCAGTAATTCCATCCTACATTGAACCTCACAGGAGAGGAAATTAGCTTTAAAATACCTGAGGGGGAACACAGGCTGCCCAAAGGGACTGTCACAGAAGTACAGGCCACCTCTGTCAGTCTCACACGTGGAGGAGGTTCTCAGCACTCAGACTTCTTCTGCCTTGATGAACCCAGTGTCTGGGATAGAATAATAGAATCATAGAATGGTTTGGGTTGGAAAGGACCTTGAAGATCATCGAGTTCCAACCCCTCTGCCATGGGCAGGGATACCTCCCACTAGACCAGGTTGCTCAAAGCCTCATCCAGCCTGGCCTTGAACACCTCCAGGGATGGGGCATCAACAGCTTCCCTGGGCAACCTGTTCCCGTGTCCCACCACCCTCACAATTAAAAATTTCTTCCTAATGTCTAGTCTAAATCTACCCTCTTTCAGCTTGTAACTGTTACCCCTTGTCCTACCACTACACTCCCTGATAAAGAGTACCTCCCCATCTCTCCTGTAGGCCCTCTTCCAGGTACTGGAAGGCTGCTCTTAAGTCTCCTCGGAGCCTTCTCTTCTCCAGGCTGAACAACCCCAATTCTTTCAGCTTGTCCTCATAGGGGAGGCGCTCCACCATTCTGATTAATTTTGTGTCTCTCCTCTGTACTCTCTCCAACAGGTCCATGTCTTTTTTATGTTGGGGGCCCCACAGCTGAACACAGTACTCCAGGTGGGGTCTCACGAGAGCAAGGTAGAAGGGGAGAATCACCTCCTTCGACCTGCTGCTAAAGCTTCTTTTGATGCAGCCCAGGACATGGTTGGCTTTCTGGGCTGCAAGCGCACACTGCCAGCTCATGTT